GTGCTCGTGTCGTCAAGTCAGAAGCGCAAAGAGTGTCAGATGCAGAGGAATATTCTGCGAAGAGTGATGTCGAGCTGCAAGCCAAGTCGGAAGTGGCTTCGACTGCTGCGTCGGACGATGTTGCGATTTCTATCGCCTCCGACAAGAGTGAGTTTGGCGAGGCAACACTTTTGGTTGGCGGGATGACGTGTACCTCGTGCTCCAACTCGGTTGAAAACGCACTGAAACAAACGGAGGGTGTCGTGTCTGCTCTTGTCAGCTTTGCGACGGAGAAGGCGACAGTTCGCTTTGATAAGGACATTGTTGGAATCCGGACGCTTGTTGAAACAATCGAGGATATCGGATATGACGCTTCATACGTGTCCAAGTCAGAGGCGCAGAAAGCGCTGGGAGATCAACGCGCAAAGGAGATCACGAGGTATCGCGTTGACTTTTTCGTCTCCATGCTGTTCACATTCCCGATTGTCCTAATCATGATGCTGTTCGACAATATTGCACCTATTGAACGCGGTTTGGCTTCCGAAATTCTTCCCGGGATCTCGTGGCAGACGTTGATTGTGGCAGTTCTAGCCACCCCGGTCCAGTTTTACCCTGCGCGTCGATTCCATGTTGACGCTTGGAAAGGAATGAGGAACCGCATGTTAGGCATGTCATTCCTGGTGTCGATGGGCTCCAATGCCTCGTACTTCTACGGTCTGTTCAGTCTCATTCGTGCGGTTTTATTGAGCGATGCAAGTGTCGCCAACCCGGATATGTTTATGACGTCGTCGATGCTCATTTCTTTCGTTATCCTGGGCAAGTTCTTGGAGGCAATCGCTAAAGGCAAAACCTCGGCAGCACTGAGCAAGTTGATGGAGCTGCAAGTCAAATCTGCCACGTTGTTAGTTTTTAGCGCTGACGGAACGAGAATCCGTGAAGAGCGCATTGTTCCGATTGAACTGGTGCAACGTGGAGACATTCTCAAAGTCGTCCGCGGATCGTCCATTCCAGCCGACGGAGTCGTCGTGTACGGCGAAGGTCGGATTGACGAGTCGATGTTGACGGGTGAGTCCAAAACAATCAAGAAAGTCGTCAACGATCGTGTGCTAGGGGCAACCGTGAATGTGGACGGATTGTTCCATATGAAGGTTACCGGTGTGGACAACGACACTGCATTGAGTCAGATTATTCGTCTCGTGGAGGACGCGCAGACCTCAAAGGCGCCAATCCAAGCATACGCAGACTACGTCGCGTCCATTTTCGTCCCTACCGTACTGGGGCTTTCTTTCGTGACATTCTCGGCTTGGTATCTCCTCTGTGTTTTTGAGGTTGTCCCGGAAAGCTGGATTCCTCACACAGACAGCACGTTTGTGTTCGCGTTCAACTTTGGTATTGCTACACTCGTTGTGGCTTGTCCGTGCGCGTTGGGGTTGGCAACACCCACGGCTGTCATGGTTGGAACGGGTGTCGGGGCTGAGCACGGTGTGTTGATCAAGGGCGGTGAGCCACTACAGGCTGCGCACAACGTCAACACGATCTTGTTCGACAAGACGGGAACTCTGACAGTGGGGAAGCCTGTGGTGACAGATGTGGTGGTGCTCACGAAGAAGCTCAGCACTGAGGAGCTCATTATTCTCGCTGGGTCGGCTGAACTTGGCAGCGAACATCCTCTCAGTAAAGCGATCATCGAGTACGCCAAGTTTATCTCGTCTTATCTCGAACAACCCACAGGTTTCCGTGGAGTTTCAGGACGAGGCATTGCGTGTACAGTTGGTGAGCACAAGGTCGTCATTGGCAACAGAGAGTGGATGGCCGATAACGGAATGAAGCGTTTGTCAAGTATTGTGCTGCAGCAGGCCACAATGACGTTCCAGAATGCTGGAAAGACTACCATTTACATGGGCGTCGACGATGAACTTAGCGCTGTCTTTGGTGTGGCGGATGCTCCGCGTAAAGAGTCAATCCGTACATTAAAAAAGCTGAAGCAGATGGGTCTGGAAGTCTGGATGGTCACTGGTGATAACGCACGCACGGCCTTCGCCATTGCTGACCAACTTGGCATTAGTCGACGCAACGTCATGGCCGAGGTGGTTCCTTCTCAGAAGTCTTCGAAGGTTAAGCAGCTCCAGAGTACTGGGCGTATCGTTGCTATGGTAGGTGACGGCATCAACGACTCGCCTGCA